GGCGAGGGGAGGAACAGCCTCAGCTCCCCACTGGAAGCTCCTTCAGTGAGTGTTTATTGAGCACCGCCCATGTTCTCAGCCCTATGCTAGGGGTCGGGGAAGAATCCAGAGAAAAGCTGAAGCTTGGAGGCCGCACAGGTGTTCCCCCAGGAGAGGGAGCCCCAGCGCGCTGGGGGGAAGCAGGCAGACTGAGCTCAGCACCATGGCTGGGAAGGGGAGGGGCAGAGAGATGAGAGAGAGACAGAGAGGAAAGGCAGCCTACAGAGACTTCAGATGCTGGCAGCTGGAGGCCATAGAACTGGGCAGCTCTCTAACCACGTTTGCCTGGTTGGCTTAACACAAGATGTTCATATTCTCCGTGTCTGCCTCACATGATGAGACACAATAGCATTGGACGTCCTCTCTCCTGGGATGGCCTGACACAGCGATCCTCCAGCTTTCTCCTTCATCGCCTCCCCCTGGGGCCCAGGACGAATGGTGTGTTACCAGCGGGTTTGGGGGAATTTCCCATCTGCCTGGAGCCCTCTGGGAACCCACTGCCGCAAAGACCTTCCATTGTTACCTAAAACTCCTGCAGATTCCCTGCCAGGGTAGTCCAAATATCAAAACTGTGCCGTATTTAAAAAGAATGAAAAGAACAAAACCTCCCACAGGGAGAGCTGGGCTGGAGCAACACTTCCCAGCCTCTCTGATGCTCGCCAGGCAGAGGCAGCTGAGGTCTGGCTACTCCCTCCTTGTAAAGGCATTACCCCCGGTTGTCATGACGCCCTGTACCCCCACTACCCTGCCGTTTGGACCACATTCCCTAAGTTGCCTTTGCCACGGAGAGGAAGCAGTCAAAGACACCTCCAGAGATGGGGTTTTAGAGAAACTGAGTCGCTAGGAGCAGCCTGACGCCCAGCAGAGGTACCCACTAGACAGGAACTGCCACGGCAAGAGCTTTGGTGAGAGCTTGAGCTCAGGATGTAGAGTTGGGAGTGATACTGAAGCCTTGGGCAAGAATGTACTCACATCTCAACTGTATCCTCACCCATCCTCACCCACGTACTAAATGGCACACAGCACACGCCATGCAAACCTTGGTGATCATTCACCAAGCTGAGCAACTTGGACCAGGTGCCAGGTTCGGTTCTTGGCATTGGAGCAGATGGAGAGGGAACGTGTTTTATAAAACCGCCTTGAAGGGGAAAGGGCGTGTGGGTCCCTCCCACAGCCAGAGTTGTGAGATAAGATCCCAGTGTTGTGTTGCCTTGGCAGCCGCTGGCCTAGTGAGAACGATGAATAACAAAGGAAGTGCAGAAATTGAGCAGCAGTGTGACACCAAGTCAAGTGGTTGATGTTCATTGCAAAGTTTCTCAACCAAAAGAATATGCTAAGAACAGATACAATAAGCCCGACTGGCATGACTTATTGGCAGAGCGCTGACCTATGAACCAGGAAGTCAGGGTTGGATTCCTGGTCAGGGCACATCCTCGGGTTGCCCGCTCAATCCCCAGTGTGGGGCGTGCAGGAGGCAGCTAATTAATGGTTCTCTCTCGTCACTGATGCTTCTATCTCTTCCTATCTCTCTGAAATCAATGAAAATATATTAAAAAAAAAAGAATGGATACAATAAATGTTTCCTGCCACAGCCTGTTTCTAAAAACAAGCAGAGATTTAGAGGAATTATTGGAACCAAGGGGTGGGAGGGTGATCATGGATGTGACTGACAGCATCACCCAGCCAATGGGAAATAAGAGGATGGAAGCCACGTGACCCAGCTGTGTTTCCCTGCAGGGCTATGCCAATGGCCATCCAGTTCTCCATCCTGATCATGCTGCATGCGGCTCTGGTCCTCATCACCACGGCGGAGGATTACAAGTGTTTACCACTCGTCCTGCGGAAGACTTGCTGCTGGATCAACGAGACCTATTTGGCCCGGAACGTCATCATCTTCGCATCCATCCTGATCAATTTCCTGGGCGCCATCCTCAATATCGTAAGCATCCCAGGCCCGCCCACCCTCCAGTGTCCGGGATGCTCTCGGGGGGCCCCAGGGTTTGTGGAGCTGCTGTAGCGTCTTGCATTGCCTCCCTCCACACCAGTTACCTTCGTGCCTGGTCCAGTCCCAAGCTTAGGGACAGAGCACCCCGGTGCGGCTACTGCCAGAACCGGGCATTTCACTGGGCAGTTCCAGTGGGAGAAGCTTTGTGCTGCAAAGGCCTCCAACCTCCCTGCAGTTCCTGCCCTGTCACTGGCTACTCGACAGCAGGGGTCAGTCAGGCACCATGTAGGAAGTACCCCCTGCTGTGTGCCATGCACTGAAGGAGGAGCCATGCACAGTACGGTTTTCATATTTAATCCTCACTAAACCCTGTGAGGTAAGTCTCATTATCCCCACTTTATGGCTGAGGAAACAGGCTCAGAGACATGAAATAACTTGTTAATATGGTCTGTCTGACTCCATGACTCATGCTCATTCTCATCTGCTGAATGGTATCTCTGGGGATGGGAGCGGGGCCATGGGGATCAGTAGCTGTTGTTTACTGAGCATCCACTGTGGGCTACAGGTAGGTATTACTGTTCCCACCTAATGGATGAGGAAACCACATCTCAGGAAGGTTAAGCATCTTGCCTGTGGTTTTCTAAAAGCTCCTATTGGATGTGACACATCGAACTCCAATGAATCTCCAACTGCCATATTTACCATTGCTTTTAGTTCGGTGACCCATGTGTCAATGATTTCATTTTCTCAGTAGAATGGTAACGATAGCTGTAAGCATTGTCTGTGTAAATACAAGCAGCCTGCGTTGTCTATGACTTAGGGACGGAGTGGAGGGTAGGAGTGGTCTGTCTGATCCCAGGGTTTGAACTTGGCATGTGGAGAGAGGCTAGCGGGGGCGTCATCTGGTGGCTGAAACCATCACCAGGCCCCTTGAGTCTGAGGAGGGCATCCACAAGTTCAGGCGTGGACACACCTGCTTTAGGATTTTAAGATGAGCTGGGGAAATGAATAGGCGAGGAGGAGACAGAGGAATGAGGAAAATGAGTAGAGGATTATATGACCTGAAATGTATTGTGCAAGTTGGCCTAGTATTTTCTTAGAGTCTATGCTGCTCAAGCTCTACGGCTGGCCTTGAAGTAAAGGACTCAATGGGATAAAGAAAAGGGGAATCACAGTCTAATTAAATTCAGCGTCACATGAGTATTTGATGTGAGATTGTGGTACTTGAACATGGATGTGCATAGGACCATTGATCACAGAATGCAGAGCTGTAGCTGGGACCTTAGTCTTGACAAATCAGATACCTCTGGGGTGCAGAATTGGACAATCAGTCCAGAGACTCAAGGTCAGGGTTACCCTTCAGGCCAGCCATGCCACAGTGGTGTGGGTGGAGGTTCTGAGGCGTTGGAGTCAGATAGACCTGCGTTCAAATCTAAGCTCCACCGCTTATCAGCTCGGTGACCCTGGACAAGTTACTTTCCTTCTCCGAGTTTCCTATTTTTCAGTTGTAAATGGGGATAAAAAGAGCAGCAGCATCACACGGGGATTGTGAGGGAGTTTTTATACCAAGTGTCTGGCACAGAGGAGGTATTCAGCCAATGGTAGCTGTTCTTTTCTGAGCGCCATGAACATCACCTGCAAGATGTCTGGGCTCCGAATTTCCCACCACCCCAGTGCTAAGAGTCTGTACGGAACATGTGCCCCTCAGGTCCCTAACACCTCCCAGCTCCTGAGGTGGAGACAGGCTGTGAGCACACCCAGGCCTCTCCTGCCTTCCAGCTGCTCTCTTCTGAGCCCCCGGGCACTTCCGTGACCCTCCGTGATGGGGCCACAGAGCAGTCTTCCCCGTCCTCACTGGGTGGACAATGCCCTTCTGAGCCAGTGCTTTCTGTAAAGTGAAAGAGAAGACCCCCGCTGGCACTGCCAGGCCCAGTGATGCCCCTCGGGCCTGGTCCGCCCCAGGCTCTTGCTGAACCCCAGCGCCCATAGCACAGGACGCCTTTTCCAGCACTCACACTGACTTTGTTGTTCCTGTGTTTTTTGTTTTTTTGTTGTTCTTTTTTTTTTTAATCCGCAGCTGTGGTGTGATTTTGACAAGTCGATACCCTTGAAGAACCTGACTTTCAATTCCTCAGCTGTGTTTACAGATATCTGCTCCTACCCAGAGGTATTTATTCACAAGCCCCCTGGGCAAGACCTGGGCCTAGACATCTCCACCAGCTCCAACCAAGCAGGACTGGGGAAGGGCCTCCAAGGCACCCGGAGGCCTGTTTCCTTCTTCTGCCTCTTCCTCCTTCTTTGTCCTTCCCCTTCTCTGCCTTCCCTTCTCTCCTTGTCTCCTCTGCTGTCCCCTTTCTCTTCCTGCTCCCTCTCCGCCTCTTTCCCATTGCTGCCCTTTCCCCATGTCTCCCTTCCTCTTCCTTCTCCTCCATGTCTTCCCTCTTCACCTTTCCCTCTACTCATTTCTCTCTTCCCCTCTGTCTCCTCCTCCCCTATTCATTTCTACCGACTCATCTTAAGATCTTAAAGCAGAGGTGCCCGGTCATTAATAGAAGACAGAGCACAGAGTTACTGCTCAAAGGGTGTTTGCTGTATTGGAAAAGGAAAGCTGGAAAGATGGATGGATGGATGGATGGATGGATGGATGGATGGATGAATGGATGGATGGATGGATGGATAGATGGAAGGAAGGAAGGAAGGAAGGAAGGAAGGAAGGAAGGAAGGAAAGAAGGGAGGAAGGAGGAAGGAAGGGAAGGAGAGAGGAAGAAGGAGCTAGTGACTCACAAAAGCAGAACACAACTAAACTTAAATAAAAGTGGTGTAGACAGTACATGGAGGTGTAGACAGGGTCAGGAGGTGTCCCGACATCACCCCCACCATCGTAATATAAGTCTGACCCTCTCTTGGTGACAGAGCCACTGGTCTGGTCCTGGGCATCAGGGTCAACCTACGGGGCTGGGCAAAGGACAAGCTTAGGCTCCACTACTCATAGCCCAGACCTTTACACGTTAGGACAGAAGTCATGCGCCAAAAGGGAGGATAGCTGGGGGTCCCAGCAGACCCCAGCCAACGCCATACTCTGAGGACACTAAGTGGACTCTTGTTCTCTCAGACTCTCTCCACCATGTGGGTGGAGGAAAGGCTCTCTGTGTCTCACCTAGGCCCCAGAATGCGTGTGAGAAATGTCTGCAAAGGAGAGACAGCCTCGCCCCGCTCCCCAGGTGCAGTGCATCTATCTACTTGATATGCAGAACATCATTGAGTCAAGATGTCTGGGGTAGAGGCTATGACCACCTCCACTTTATAGATAATGAAACGAAAGCTTAGAAAGTACCTTGCTCAGTGCCAGTCCTGCCTGAGTCCCATTCTTCCTCACTCCTTTCCGTCCTTCCTTCTTTTCATCCTCCTCTTCCTATCTCAGTTATCAAGACTCGCTACTGCAATGCAAACCATATCTGGCATATCCTGAACCCATACGTCTGAACCCAGGCTCAATCCCTAGGGAAGAATGAGGCTCATGTTAAGGAAGTTCAGGGCTGCACAGGACAGACCACATGCTCTGGGACTCCCTCCACCAAGTAATGAGTGAGCTCTGAGGTCATGGACTCCTTGGGACACCAACACCCCAAGAATGTGGAGGACTTAAGGAGGGACCCAAGAGGCAGTGAGCTGGCCAAGAGTCGGATATTCAGAGCTAGGCAGAAGCTGGATTTCACTCTTCACTTGCTAGCAGCGGAATCTTGAATCAATTCTTACTCTCTCTGAAACTCAGCTTCCTTATCTGTACAGCAGGAAAAATAATAGCTTCTTCACGTGGCTATTGTGGAGTTAAGGAACAGCACGTTCTCATGGCGACTACCTAGAGGAGCTAGCAAATGCTGTGTTTCTAACATGACGTCTGACATGAGTGGATGTTCATGAACTATTTAATCTGGGCTTCTGTGTCATTCTAGACCAGCGATGTGGGGCGGGGACCTTTTCTCTGTCAAGGGCCATATGGATATTATAACATCATTTGCAAGCCATACAAAATTATGAACTTAAAAATCAGCTGGCTATATTTGGTTAAACATTTAATTAACTCAGTCCTAATGCCTTGGCAGGGCCAGACCACACGATTTTGTGGGCCTTACACGGTCCTTGGGCCAGACGTTGCTCACCCCTGTTCTAAACCAACACTACATACTCTGGGCCCCAAACCTGAACTCCCAAACTCAGGACCACAGCACTCATGGTGCGTAGGCTTTTGGATCACATAGCTTCATCTCTGTGCCTCAGTTTCTTTATCTGTAAAGGGAGGGTGAAAGCAGTCCCTTCCTCATGGGTGGCTGTGAGGATTAAGTAAATTCATGCATGTAACATGTTTAGAGAAATGCCTGACCCAAAGGATCTGCTCATTAAATGTCAGCTGTGATTGATTTATCACCTTTAGTACAAGCTTCTGAGCCTGCACTGCCCATACATGTTTACTACAAGTGACACACCTGTATCAGTGCTGACATAACATGTGCACTATGAAACATACTCAAAAACAAGAATGTTAAAAAGTGAGATAAAATAAACAAATCAGAGTTTCATACTGTCCTCCCACAACCAAAGAATCACCTTGTTCAGGGTCAGCAAACTATACCCACAGGCCAGACTCTGCCAGCCACCTGTTTTGTAAATAAAATTTACAAATGGGCACAGCCACACCCATTTCTTACCAATTCTCTATGGCTGCTTCTATAGGACAATGGCAGAGTTGAGCAATCACAGCAGAGATGGTGTGGTCCACTAGGCCAACAATATTTACGGCCTGGCTCTTTAGAGACCATATACTGATGCCACCTACTGATCTCTCTCTGGTGCAGGAATACCACTGGTCAAAAAGATGGGCAGCTGGGCTGTGTCCATCCCCAGCTACTGTGACGACCCAATTTGCCCCACCACTTGGCATCCTGATGTCTGTGGCTGTGGCTCCCTACCTAAGGCTTTGTCTAGCAAACTGGAAGGAATCAGACACTCAGACCTTCTAAAAGGCTTCATCTACACAACCCTTCCCACCCCTCACAGTGTGTCCCCAAGCAAATCGCTTCATCTCTCTGAGCACTGTTTCCTCATCTTCGTCTCTGACCTCTGATCCCATGAGAAATGATACTCAGTCCAAAGGCGTGTTATTAAACTGGATGATGTGATATAAACAAGAGGTTGTTACAATTATAGTGCAAAGTAGAATTGCGTTCTGAACTATAGCTTGCCAATTACTGAAAAAGAAGTAAAGATGCAGGAAATGACAGCTTAGAAAGCCATGTGCCAACTGTGAGTGGAGAAGTAGCCGAGGGGGCAGCAGAGAGACACAGGTCTGCCAAGTGAATGCAAATCACATGCACAAACCCACCATGTCATTATCTCAGGCGCCTGAAGGCAGTTCTCAGGCGGTTTGAAGGGAAGACCATCTTAGAATGCAGGCCCTTGATTACAGGCTCCGGCAGATCCGGATAAACAGCTAGGATAAACAGCTAACTATATTGCGAGAGCATTCGGAGCTGTCTGTCGTTTTATAGGCCCCCGGGAGTGTAATTACCTGGGTCTTCTCATCCTGGTGCTTTTCTCCCATTTCCTTCCCATGCTTTCGGGTCCCACCCAGCCTTCAACCCCCCCTTTGCAAAAGGCATTCTCTGGAGGACCCAGTCCCTTCAGACCTCTTCCTGCCATTTCACAGACCCTCTGGCATCATCTTCGAACTCACGCTCCGTCCTTTCTGCAATGTATTTATCTGCCTAGACCATTCTTCCCAACCCGTCACATTTATAAACTGCTTTGAGGACAACTGACAATATTTATAGTTATTCAAGATTACTCAAAGGACAGAGCCCACAGTGTGTGCTTAGTAATTCTTCTAAAACAAAAACAAAACAAAACAAAACACACACAAACACACACACACACACACACACACACACACACACACACAGAAAAAACACGAAATAAGCCAGTCAGAGAAACACAAGTATCACATGATCTAACGCATATGTGGAATCTAATGAACAAAATAAACTGCCAACATAGA